AGCCTCGAAGTTCTGCTCAAGTAGAGCTTCGATGCAGACCTAACTGGGAAGGTGCTGCGTACTGGCCAGAGATTGGGGTTTCTTTGTTGTCGTCCACTGGGGCTCCCAACAACTGATTGAGGAAAGCTTGCTTGGTATTGTATATTCTACTTACTACTGTGCCTGCTGTAGAATAAAGACACGTTAACTTCAAACTACTTGTGTGCTTATTGCTTCTGGATCCTTAAAAGAACCATTGCTTTTGGCAAAACAGGGGGGATGTATTTTGTCACCTAAAATTCTTGGTTTATCCACAAGAATATACAGCACTGTTATAAATATGCATATTCTTTCTCATTCTTAGCCTTTCCCCTCTGCTGAGTTAAAATGCCAGCCACCCATCCTTGAGCAAGCAGAAAACTATACTAGCATGGAATGTGTTTCTCCCATTGCTGATCCCCATCCTGTCTGATTCCATGGCGTCAATAGCACCGACTCACTGAATGGCGCTGTCCTGATCTTTTATGTGTAGCTCATGATAAACAAAGTTGATTCCAAGAGCTCTGCTGTCCCCTTTCTCTTTTGCACATCTCTACTTGGTGGGAAAAACATCCATCAATCCTGCCACTGTAACTGTATATCCAATTCTGTCATAACCCAAGCTGAATATAGTTTTTTTAAAAAAATAATAAATTGGAATCACAAAGAGAGTTCCATCACAAGTAGCCCTTTTATTTAGAAGTTCTCTAGCCTTCCTTTCCTTTCTATAGACTGCAAATGCCAACTTCTGGATTCCTCTGGGTACTGATCCAGAGGCAGTGAAATGGGACGAGACAGTCTCATCACTTCACCATTTCAGCCTTGCACTAAACTAGTAAGGACCATAATGTTAAAACATCCCCTGCAATTTAACACTGTTGCACAATTCTGACAGATGAATGGCCCACACTGCTATATTCAGCTCTCTGAAGAGACAATATAGAGGCAGCTGATGAAGCTGATCAGGGCCCAGAGAGACAGTGCTTGACCACTAAATGCTGCTTTGATCCCACCTATGGCACCATTATTCACCTGATTTGGGAAGACTTGTGGGTGCTATTGGATGCCATCAGCTTAAGGGGTGGGGGCGGAAGCATTATTTTAATGTACAGTTAAAGAGTTAAACTGGTTTATTCATGGGTTAGGGGCCAGATGAAGGCAGCATTATGGGAACATTGCAGAAAAAAGGGGCTGCCAGGTCATCTTTGTACCATGTTTAGGTGCAAGGGGAGAAGAGACAAGGAAAGCAGGCAAGCAAGCGAGTGGAACTTTTCAAGAGGCTGACTTGGAAAAGATTGTCAATTGCTAATTTATTTGCTGGCCCGGTACCATCAGAGCAGCAAGCGAGTCCGTGCTTTATAGAGAGCGTATCTCCTGAGGGCGTAACGAGGTTGTTGAGTGTCAGGATGCGACAGTACCCCCAGCAGTAGGTGAGACGTTCATCCTGCTCACGCCAAAGCTCCGGGGAGCGGAACTACTCTGCCTTCAGAGCTGCGGCGGCGGCGGCGGCGGCTGCTTCCCTCTAATGGCTCCGGAATGCGCTAGCAGCCTGGCGGGTGAGGTCACCTCCTTTCGCCTCGTCAGTCTCCTCCCGCAGGCGTCGCAGTGACAGCTGAGCCGGCGGTTCCTGGTCGCCCACTGCTTGGCTGGCCGGCTCCCGGAGCGTCTCTCGGCCGCCGAGGCTGCGGGCGC